CCCCACCCACCGGCTTCAGCACCACGGGCAGGGACAGCGGCGGAGGGCGCTCTCCGCGCGTTTCGGGGGGCACGTGGGGAGGTCGTTCAGAGGCATCCTCCGCCCCCATCCCCAGCACACACACAGTCTCTGATCCATATAAGGGCCAAAGAAGCAGAAAATAGCTACGAACAGTTACAGGCTCCCAGAACTGGGGACAAGAATGTTGTGGGGCCAGTCAGATCCACGCTCACGCGCCGTGCCCGCCCACGCAACCTCGCCACGCGGGCCAGAGACAACCAAGAAGGCAGCGGCTAATAATGATAACGACGGCTGCCGTTCCAACGGCCCTTACCCCGTGCCAGGCACGGGTATGAAATTTCTCCATAAGCGCTTGACACATGTTGATACAACTAACCCTCTCATACCAACCCCGTGAGGCAGATACTATTAGCCTTCGTTTACAGATGGGGAAACTGAGGCACAGAGTGGTGAGCTGTGGCTTCAGGCTCCGCGCCCTTAACCGCTGCCTCGGACCAAGGACCTGGCAAGGAGCCCGGAGGGGAACTGCAGGGGGTTGGCCCAGACTCCTGAAGACACACTCGGGAGCCCTGGGCGCGCGCCTCAGACCCACACGGTCACCATCACTAGTGAGCTCACCCGGAACCCCACCCAGGGCCGCTCCCGCCCAGGACCCGAGGAGGCGGCGGCCTGCTGGGGCCAGGAAGACCAGCCGCCCGTCACTTCCCACGGCTGGCCTGGGTCCTGGGAGCCGTGGAGACAGGGTCGCCAAGCACTGGTGGCCAGCGCCTGAAGACCACTGAGGAGGGGCGGCGGCTGGGCCTTCACGTCGGTGCGGGTGGACGTGCCCGGCCCAGGCGCGTGGCCCTCCCCTCAGGCGCCCCTCCAGCGAGGCCTGCTCGGGAGTTACTCCCCAGCCCCCAGCCCCGGCTTCTGTTTCTGGCTCAGGTGCGGAGGGCAGAACTTCCTGTGGCCCTGCCCCTCCACTGGCCCCGAGACAGCCTCTGAATCCTCCTGGCGCCACAGAGGGGCGATTCCAGCAGCCGCGGGCCGCAGAGAGAAGCTGTCTCCAAGCCCCGTGCCCCAGTCCGGGCGCTGTTCATTCAGGGCTTAGTCCTTCCAACATGGTATATCCTGGGGCCTATCTCAGCATCCCTAGTGGGCACCTAACCTCAACTACTTCCCGATGGGGCCCAACCTTGGCCTTGGCACAGGGTCCAACCTCAGCTTATTCATAGGGGTCTAGCCTCAGAGCCTCTGCTGCAATTGGACAGCTTCCCCCCAGTGGTCCTTTCCGCCCATCCTGTCCTCTGAGGCTCAATTTCCCTGTCTCCCTACTGCCACCTAATCTCAGGTCCAGAGCTCTGGACTGGGGTCTGGCCGCAGTCCTCCCTGCAGGTCCAACCTCAGGCCTTTCCTTTACAGCAGCGATTTGCAACCTTTCCATCTCATGGCACATAAACTAATTACTAAAATTCTGCAGCACACCAAAAAATGAACCGTGTTTTGCTGATCTGACAAAAAAACAGGTGTAATTTTGATTCATTCACACCAGACGGCTATTGCGTTGGCTGTCATTTAAAAATATATATTTTTTTATTGGTTTCAGAGAGAAGGGAGAGGGAGAGAGAGAAACATCAATGATGAGAGTTGTCACTGATCGGCTGCCTCTTGCACACCCCTGACTGGGGATTGAGCCCGCAACCCGGGCATGTGCCCTGACCGGGAATCGAACCGTGATCTCCTAGATCCTAGGTCGATGCTCAGCCGCTGAGCCACGCCGGCCAGGCTGTCATTTTTCATTTGACAGTCTCAGGGAAAGAGGTCAGTGCCCCTGACTACAGTCATGTACTGAATGTTTTAAAAATTCTTGTGGCCACCAGTGGTTTAACCCCAGCCTTTCTGTTAGGGCCCAATCTCATCTTTCCTCCCAGGTCTACACTACGATCTCGCCTCAGTCCTGCCTCTTGGTCCAACCCTGAGTCCTCTCTCCCATATCCCCCTCCCTCGGTTCTGGGTGAGTCCAGCATCCAACACCAGGTGCTGAGCTCTCATCAAGCACTTGCTGAAAAGAGTAAAGACAATGGGCAGCTGGGTGCCTATGGACATGTACGTAATCCGAGGCTGGCCAATTTCCTCCTGGAGTGGAAGGGGGGGGTGAGGTCACCCCATTTTCAAACAGGGATACTGAGGCACAGAGGGGTGTGTTAGGCAAGGTTGCAGGGCACCCTGGGGCAGAGCTGGAGCAGGAGCTCACAGCTCCACTGCCCTGGGGAACTGGGCTGGAGGTGAGCACCCCAACGGGGGGAAGTGGGATCAGGAGGCTGATGTCCCAGCAGGCCCTGGGCCCACCCTGTTCCCCAGCCTTTGTAACTGACGTCTCTTCTGCTCCACTTGGTGCCGAAGCCTTGTCAGGACCAGCTCCGAGGCCTGGATCAGGCTGTGCTGTGGGAACAAGAGAGGAGGAGGGCAGGGCTGAGAGCTGGAGGAGGGCAGGTTAGACCACGCGGGATGGGACGGTCCGGAGTTTAACCACCCCAAAGGCGGGCAGCTCAGCCATGGCAAGGGTTGGAGAGCAAGCCAGTGGGCAGGGTTGGACTGGGTCTGTGGCGGGTGAAGCCCTCAGTGAATTTCCAGTGGGAGGAACCCAGCCTGGACCCAACTGTATGGGTCTGACGTTAGAACTCAGTAGAAGGGATGAGGTGGGATGGGTGAAAATATGAGAGAGAAATTGCATCATATGGGAGGGAGGTCAGACCACGGGGCAGAGACAAAGGTGACACGCTGGCAGAGGGATAGTCTAACAGGACAGAGGAGGCACAAACCAAAGTGGACAGGAGAGGAATGCACCCCCATATGAGGGACAGTTAGATCCTGGCCAGAGAGTCTGAGGTGGGACCTAACAGGAAAGACAGTGATCACAGTGAAATGGCTTGAAACAGCCACATTGCAGGATGACACGGCGGTCACAGCAGTGAGAGGAAGTCCTCCCGCCACTTCCAGCCACAGCATCTCCCACTGCTGTCTCCCTTCATGCAGTCTACCCGCAGTGCTTCCCAGTGAGATGGACCTGTGCCCTTCCCTTTCTTTTTAATTTATTATTTTAGAGAGAGAGGGGAAGGGGAGAGAGACGAAAGGAGGCAGGGGGAAGAGAGAAAGAGGGAGAGGTGCTGGGGGTGACGATACTGTATCAGGATCCCCTTCATCAGCGGGTGCTCACCCCACCCCCCACAGCTGTGACTGCTCCCAGCTGCCCCTTCTCCTGGGCAACAGGAACCACCTTCCAGAAAGAAACACTCCCACTTCCTGGAAGGGGCCTGCAGTGAACTCCCTCGCTCAAAGGTGGGGGAATCCACACCCAGGCACACATTCCTCGAGAACACGCCCTCAGTCAGGCAGGTGGGTGATAACCCCAGCCCAGGCTCTGCTTTGCGGGACCCGACTTGAGGACCCCCTACCTGCAGGATATGCACGCCCTTCAGGGAGACCACGGCGAGCTCCCGCAGCCCGTCCCCAGTCAGGTCCAAGTGAGCCATGGCCAGCAGCGGGCTGGGGAAGCTCCTCTGCCACAGCAGGCGGAATCCCCACTCCGCCTTGGGGAGCCTGGCCTCGGTGCCACAGTACTTGTAACAGAGCAGTTCCTGCAGGGGGCGAGGGACTGGGGTCACACAGGGTGAGCGGGGCAGTGGAGGGGACAGGTGGGTGTTGGCCCCTCCCTTGGGTCCTACCTGTCCGTAGGTGGCCACTAGAACTTCTGGCTGCCCATCCAAGTCAATATCGGTGACCAGGCCACAGAGGATGCTGTCAAACTGGTCACTGCCAGGCAGGAGAAGCTGGTCTTCCAGGCCCCGGCTCAGCAAGTCCCTGAGGGTTCCCAACGCGGGGAGAGACTGAGGTCAGACCGCAGCGCCCACCACCCTCAGCGCCAGCTCCACTTCAAAGGTCTGGACACCCTCCTGAAGCCTGGGCACTCGCATCTCCAATCTGGTCACCTTCCTACCCACCAAGGAGGATTCAAATAGTTTACTCAGACTGTCCTCCTGCTACTCCCCAATCTGGACCCCCACTTCCCTCTGGAGGTGGGACCATCTCACTCTCACATGGAAACCGATATGGTTCCCTTGGAGATCTAGACACCACACTGTCCCATGGGACATCCTCACTGTCCACCAGGTGTGCCACAGCTGACTGGGAAATTTTCAGAAGTTTTGCATGCCTGCTGGCATCGTGTCAGTAGCCCGAAATCCGCCATGGTGGGAGTATTTACACCTGGAAATGGGCAAATGCTACAAATCAAGCTTTTCTCACACATGGAGGCAGCTGTTACACATCTGCCAGCACACCTTGTCCCCCTCCTCCAGGGACAGCGGGCACCTCAGTACCCACTCCAACATACCAACACACTCTTCACAAGTTCTAGACTTAAACACTTGCACCCTCTCCCTGGGACATGAACACCTTTACCTGCCCAGCCCTGAACAACGTCACCCAAAGGCTTTCTGCTGAGAAAGACAAGGTTAGACCACAGTGCAAAGGCATGAGGTTAGACGGCACCCACGTCCCCGGCCACTCACCGATACACCACTGCTGGCTCCAACATGCTGGCCACGAGCATGCTGTACTCTTCCTGCTGCGGCCTGTCCTTGGTCTCTGGGGAAAGAACACGAATGGGGGTAGGTCTAGGGGGACAGGTTCCAGGACAGGAACGTAGGCTAGACCTCAGGTGAGACTTGAGGTTGTGCTATAGAGGGAGGGTCAGAGGTCAGACCATGAGGGAATGGCTGAGGTCAGACACCAGCAGGGACAGGTGTTAGGCGATAGTTTAGAAAGTCTGAGGTTAGACCACGATAGAAAAGACCAAAGTTGATGACAGCAGGAAAGTCCAAGGTTAGACCACAGCAAGAATGACAGTGGGAGGAAAAAGAATAAACACCAGCCTGGGGGACAGGCGACAGACTGCAGTGGTCAGGCCAAGGGAGGCACCAGTAAAGGACAGACCATGGTAAGAGTGACAGCGCCATGCGGGGGAAGGGTGAGACCACGAATGGTGGGGCAGCAGGAGCCCGCAAGAAAAGCCTAGGATTAGAGCAGAGCGTGAGAAAGAGCGGGGAGGATGGGCGGGGGCAGAGAAGGCCAGTGTGAGGGGTGCCGGCTAGACCAAGGGAAAGGCAGGCCAACTCCAGGTCTCAGATGAGGCCACAGGGGCAGGAGCTGGAAGTGAAACTTGAGGGCGTGGAGGGGAGGGAAGGGACAGCCGCAGCTCCAGAGTGGGGCATGTGGGAGGGATGGAGGGAGGGACCAGAGCTGGACACTCTGGGAGCAGGTGAGGGGTAGCCGAGCCTGCAGAGTTGCCCCCCTCCATGTCCAGAGCTCACCCTCGGGGGTGGAAAGGCTGAACACGATCACTCGGGAGATAGGGCCATCCTGCAGGACTGTCCACGTCTGCAAAACCTCTGTATGGAGGGCAAGGACTCAGGGCCCTGCCCCAGCCCTCAGCCCCCCACACCCACCCTGGCCCCAGACCCTGCCATCACCTCGACTCCGCTGGTCCACATGGGCTACTCGGACATAACCACTCTGACAGCCCAGAGCTGAGAGTCGCCGGGATGTGCCGGGGAGGTTGTGGATGTCAAGCCAGAGGACGCTGGTGAGCGATCGGGAGGAGAGAGGGGCCAGAGGTAGTCACCAGGTCCCAGTCCCACATTCTACCTCCTCCCCAGGAGCATCCGGCCCCTCCCTGTGGCCCTGGGACCCCGCTGCTGCCTGATTCAGCTGAGGTAATCCCCACCACGCGATTTTTCTAGGGGTCAATCCCACCGCCCGATTTCTCTGAGGCAGCCTGCCCGGTCCCGTCTGGCCAGTCTCAGGGGCTCTCCTACCTACTGGTCAGGTTCGTGAGCTCTGGGAAGAGGTTTTCCACGGGTTGTTCCTCAAACTGATGCAGCCCCTCGTTCTGGGGGAACCAAGACCCAACCCCCGCTTGGAGTCAGTGGCCACCCCAACAACCCCAGCAGGACTCTGCCCACCATGCCTCCCCCGCCTCACCTCCTTGTAGAGATGAATGGCTGGGTCATTCCCGCTCAGGAGAAACACGGTCTCCAGCTGATCTCCGACCTGGACCCTGAAAGCAGAGAAATCTAGGACCCCAGTGTGGCAGAACCTGAGTGTGGCAAAGTCTGTGTAAAACCCTGTTGCAAAAACCCCTGCCTGCAAGAACTGTAACATTCTTGGATCCAGGGCTAGGATCTCAGGATGCAGAAGTGTATAGAAAGTTAGCATGTTAGAACCTTCCATTTCTAGAGCCCTCATGTGCTAGGATCGTCATTCAGATGTGATTCAGGAATGGAACATGGAGCTCTAGAGAGGGTTGCAGAAGCCCAGGACACTGGAATCTCTTCGTCTAGAACTCATGTTCTAGTTCTGTTTTCTGTCTCCTGTGAAATACTAAACTTGTAGAAACTGCCACCAAGGATATTCAGACTCAGAATGGCAGATCATCCAAATCCTAGAATCCAGAAGGTTGGTTTCTAGAACTCTCACCTGCTAGACCAGAGGTTGGCAAACTATGATCCCACAGGCCAAATCCACCATCTGTTTTTATAAATAAAGCTTTATTGAAACACAGCCATGCCCATTCATTTACAATAGTCAATGGCTGCCTTCTTGCTATACTAGCAGATGAGTAGTTGTGACAGAGACAGTATGACCCTCAAAAGCCTAATATTTACCACCTGGGCCTTTACAGAAAAAGTTTTCCAACACCTGTGCTAGACCACTGGTATTCTAGGATGGAATCCAGAGCTCTAGAATGGAATTCTCATACTTTGGTATTCTAGAACCTCAGTATTCTAGATGGGTCTGTATGGTAGCTCCTTGAACTATGACAATGCTTTATCATGACAGAACCTCAGAATTACCAACCTGTAGAACTTTCAGATCCTGGAATGTCAGAGCTTGCAACTCTAGAAAACATTTCTGGCTCTTGGAATGTCCAAATCTAGAACCCCAGAGTTCTAGATATCTAGAACATAGGTGCTCAATTAACTCTCAGATTATCTAGTATGGGGATAACAAAATGGTAGCCCATCAGCCAAGTCTGGCTCATGGACACCTTAAATGCACGATGCTCTCAAAAAACAAAACTAGAATGTGATTGTCTATGGGCAGGTTTGTGGTCTCGTTTGTTAAAGCGCCCCCTCCCCTGTAGGTGCACACACTCCCTATTGTATCACACCTGCAGCTTACTTACTCTGCATGGCACAGCTGGAAAGGAGTGAACTGGAGCTCCAGGTTCAGGCAGCTCTCTGTAGGGGGAGCACAGGCAGATAGCCATGAGGGACTGACAAGCCCCCTTCCCACTCTCTCATTCCTCCTCCCCTCCAGGCCACACTTACGGGCAATGGAGTCAAGGTTGTACTCAGAGCCAGGCTCGTAGTCACAGTAAATGTTAAGGAAGGGGCTGCCTTTGTCCCCTGAATCCTGGGGGAGGAAACTGGCCTCAGGGGAGAGTGGGGGTGGCAGGAGGGATCTGGTTCAGACTCAGTGGGATCCACCATGTGTGTAAGGAGGGGGGAACAGGTAGGTGGAGGGGGCTCTGGGTACCTTGATGAACGTGATCCCAACAACCAGGCCCCGCTTTGGTGGAGACTTGTTGAAAGTGTCAATGGAGACAATCTCGGCATCCACTGGGAGGGGGAGTAGTTCAAAGTTGGAGTTTCAGGCCATATTGACTTATAATCACAATACCCCCAATCACAGTGACCCCTAACCTCTAGGACTCAGAAACTTTTACTCACTGCAATCACCATAACCTCTGGACCCCACTGAGTCCTGGTCACCATCACCATGGTAGGAGGGATCCTGAATCCTAACCATTTCCAGGCCCCTATTATCTCTGCCCTCTGACCCCAAAGGCTCCGGATTATCAGCTTTGACAACCTTCAATCACCCTGGTCCCATTTTCCCATCTTGGTGATCCAGCTCAGTCGGAGCCTCGGAAGCCTTCTCAACACCATGTTCCCGGCCCTCCGGCCCCACAGCGCCACGCACCGGGTATGTAATTGAACTGCAGCTCCTTGGCCACCGGCCGGATTTTCTGTCGGAGATCTTGGTAGCGGAAACCCAGCACCTTGCCTTTAAGGGTGGCGGCCAGCAGCTCCCCGCGCCCGCCCGCGCCTCCTGCCAGCCCGTACACATTGCTCTGCGACGAGAAGCGCGTGAAACTATCCTCGCGCAGCGGGCAAGGCTCCGCTGCCACGGCCGCCTCCCCCATCCCGCGCCTCAACCATTAGCTCCCGCAGCCCCCGCCGCTCCCGAAGCAACCCGGCACTCCGGGCGCCGGCTCGTCGCGCAGACTGATGACGTAGGGAAGCGGCCGCCGCCGCCCTTTACCAAGATGGCCGCCAGTCTTCCCAGGAGACTGCCTCAGCGCGCCTGCGTTCTGCGTGGACAGTGGACTAACCACCGCCATAAAGCTTAAGTATGCCAGGAACTGTTTGTTCCAAGCGCTTCCCAGCTCTCATTTTATTTAAAACTCACAAGCAGTCTTAGGTACTGTGTTTTATGGATGAAGGAACTGAGGTGCGGAGACGCGTCTAAGTAACGTGTCTAAGATCACACATCTAGTAAGCAGCAGTATTAAAACTCAAACAAGATAGCTCCATAGTTTACTACTTTAATCACATCACTTTTTAAAATGGTGAAATGCATTCTCTTTAACCCAAAGAAAGATCTATTTGTCCTGACACCACCTCCTCCTCTGAGGGGCTTTGTGCCAGTCACGTTGGCCCCGATTACCCCATTGAATCCTCACCGCCACTCTATTGTTACTCCGAATTCATTTACTCAGCATTTATTGGGCACTTACTATGTGCCGCGACATCCTTTCTAAATTGACCTCAATAACTCTTGCAACCACCCTGCAGAAGTTTATTTATTAGCCCAATTTATAGGTGAAATTGAGGCTCAGTACGTCCCTTAATTAATAGGCTAGAAGGTGGTGGACTGGATGTTAACCAGGTGTTTCGAACTCTGGCCTCTTAAGAGGTTCCTGTGTGTCTTGTCCCTAGAAGGGCATCAGGGACTTGGGGACACCTGTATATTGTTTTAAGAGTTGGTCAACTGTTCTGGCCACTTTGAGTAATCTTTTGTCCCCCACAGAAATAACACACACACAGGTTGCAAGACCCACAAAGGCAGTAAAATTCCCAGCACATGGACTACAAGGCCTGGCACAAAGCAAGCATTCAATACATGTGTTAAAAATTAACAAACGATGTGCCAGGCCCTTTGCCAGATACTGTTACATAAGGGAAGTAAAAGGGAGTTCTCAAAGGCAGACTGGATATGGAGGGTGAAAAGGAGAGATCAATCCCAGATTTCTGCATCTGGGGAGTAAACGCTTCCAGAGGATAGGGCCTGGCTCTGTTGTTTAGTGCTGTGTTCCCAGGGCCTAGACCAGGGCATGACACACAGTAGGTGCTTAGTCAACACTTGCTGAATGACTGGAATGTGGGGTCGTTTTGTCACTTCAGAAGAATGCTTTCTTCAGGCTTCTGCCTCAGTGGTGACCTCTAAACTACATGCATTTAATATTTGTTGAGCAAATGAATAAATGAAGGTATAGGTTGGGAATTGTCCTATTCAGTGGTTTCTAACCTAGCTGCACATTTGAATCATCTGTGGAACTTTCAGGAAATAAACAAAAAACCCCCAAAGGGTGGGGAACCTCAACCAAACTAGTTTATCAGAGTGTGACCCAAGCTTAAGTACTTTTAATGATTTCAAGCACAGCCAGGGTTTTGAATTACTATTTCCATTAGGCATGGCAGAAATAGATTCTTAAACCATTCTTTGGCTGTGCCCATGGCAGACATCAGCAATCAATCTCAGGTCTCAGGAGTCTTAACTGAGCTTGAGGCAGCCACTAGCGATCAATGAAGTTCTGAGGAGCAAAAGGGGACAGAGGAACAGGGCGGGGTATCACACAGGCCACTCTTTGACCTGGTGAAGCTCTCCTAAACTCCATCCAGGCTCTAGGCCCCTCTCTGAGAAGCCTCCCCTGGTTCCCAGGGAGCCTTTCCTCTGCATCATTCCTGCCCTGTTACACTGTCTGCCTCCAGCCTCCTCCAGTGGTCCCTCACAAGGGGCGGAAGCACATGCACATGGGATGGTTCACCCGACTCACAGGCCTGCCTTGTTGAGTGGTTCTTGCCCACCTTTCCTGGGGAAAAGGGATCCTGTCGCCTTCTCCCACTCCCTATACCCACTTGGTCCTGTACTCTGCCACCAAAGCTGCTTTCTCCCCCACCCTGCAACATGTGGAACAAGTGGCACTGGGGCTTTCAGTGCTCCCTCCAGGGCATGTGGACATGGGGTAGGCTGGGAGACTCAGTGGCCTCTTCCACTCCTTCTTACACAACTGCTGCATCCAGCCTCCAGTCAGCTCTGAGGGATGGCACTGCCACCCACCGACCCAGCTGAGGAAGCCAAGGCCCACAGATGAAGAAGGGTGCTCCCAGACTCCCAAATCCATGGCTCCTCCCCAAACCCACCATTCCTTGGCCACCCTCCCCGAGACCTCCAGCCCAGTCAAGCCTCCAGGTAAAGCTGGCTCTCCCCTTCCCAGTGTGACCAGAGTCCTGGGGGGGAGGGGGAATGGACAGAAAGACAGAACTCCAGCTCTGAAGGAAGAAGAGGGTAGCAGAGGTGAAGAGGAAGAAAGACTCATGCAAAAGTGTTGTTTTTTATTTTCTTTTTGGGGCCAGTGGCAGCTTCCGACCCACAAAACCTCAAAGCACTATGGCAGGAGCAGATGTGGGGCGGGTGCAGGATGACCCCCTGAGGCTCCCGGCACTGGGGGAAAGGAGCCCACCCCCAGCTGCAAGAGCAAATCTCAGCAGCTACATGTGCTCAGCGCTTGGCTGGGGGACAGAAGTGGGGAGACAGAAACCAACCTCACACCCCAGCCCCAGCCAGTTGGGAGATGGGGGCTAGATGCTGACCCCATCCCTGACAGCACCCACAGCAAATAGGTCTATGTCACAGACTCTGTTTTGGGGTGGAAAAGGGTACCTTTGTGGCTTAAATAAATGGGCGGGGGGAGGGGTGCAGCAAGAACAGAGGGTTACTGTCTAGCCAGCAGACCAGGGCTCTGGGGCCGAGACAGTGCAAAGCCTGCACTGTGGCCTGCAAGACTCCTGAGGGGAAGGGAGGGAAGGTCCCAGCCGAGGTCTTGGGCCAACTCTTTCTGGGCTCGCGCTGTGTATGGAGGGGCTGCTGGGGAGAGCAGAGGGGCAGGAAGACAGGCGCCGGGGAGTGGGCTTAGCGCAGGTCCTCCTCCTCGCCCTGGATGGTCTTCTTGACACGCAGCAGCATGGTGGTCAGCCACTGGTCCAGCCGGGAGATGGAGTCATACTCCTTCACCTGTGCACACCCGCAATGGTGACTATAGTGACAGGTGACGAATCCCATGCCTGGCCCTGGCCCTGGCTCCTTCCCTGTCCCAGCCCTGGAGCCCAGGGTCTCTGGTCCCAAGATTCTCTACATGTGTCCCTGCCAGTTGTGGCCTGAGAAGGAGCAAAGGAGACACCAGGCTGAGTGGCTCCCTTTTGGGCCTTCACTAGCCTGAGCATAAGGCTTCCTTTCAGGAAAAAAAGTAATTTTGTAGCTTAAAATAAAAGGGTGCCACTTTATGGATGGGAAACTGAGGCCCGGAGATGTGAGAAAGGCCCGTTCTGAGTGCCATAGGTAGGAGAGGCCCGAGCGAGAGCCCACGTTCTTTGTCCCCCACTTCATGCAGAGCTTCCCGACTTCCCACCACTGTCGGGGGCAGGAGGGACCAGTGGGAGCTGGTCTGTTATTGTTAGGGGCCTAGGGTTCTGGACAGGCAGGCGCCCAGCTGTGGTCTAGACGACCAGATCAGATCCTGAGCTGGACACAACTGGTTCCAGAACACTTAGAAACACCTGTGGGGCAGTTCTAAGAATAATTTGTTGCTGCAAGGATGGGCCCTCCTAATGCCACCTTTCCTGCCCCCTCAGCTCCACCTCCCTCCTGCTCTTGAGGTGTCTCGTTTCCTTCCGTTTCTGCTCCTCTGGGTAACCCAAAGTGCTGGATGAGAGGTGGCCCTCAGCTGCTCACCTAGGGGTACTCTGAGTGGCACAGACCTTGGCCTTCAGGGGCAGACAAATGTGGGTCTGAACCCAGCTCTGCCCCCGAGGGGCCAAGAATAAGTTCCCTCACCACTCTCAGCCTCAGTGCGATCATCTCTAAAGTGGGGAGACATTCTCCACACCTCTTGGGGATACTTGTGAGACTCTGGGGTGACCACAGAAAGGAATTCACAGCCAGGAGCCAAGGCCAGAGATAAAAAGGGTGAAATTCACACAGTGTGTGTCTGAGAAGGGTGGCCACCCTGCCAGCCACTCACCGCCTCAGTGTAGCTGTCCACGTTCTGCTCCTCATGGGCTTCTAGCAATTTCTGTAAGAAAATAGGAGGCAGAGGTCAGGGCCCCAGCTGGCCTGAGGCTTGGCCTGGGTTAGACCCACACACACACCATCTGGGTGGATGAAAATCGGGGGACTCCCATGCTCAGAGGAAGGAAAAGACTGTGTTCCAATCTTGCCCGTGTAAGAAGCTGCTTGCAAGCTCAGGGACACAGGTCACGTGTGCGTGTGTGTGTGTGTGTCCCAGCTCAGCCCCTACTAGATTCATCACTGTCTGAGTCTGGTCTCATCTAGAAAACGGAGATCCAAATGGCAGAAGAGGGAAAACAAAATAAAAACAAAAACCCCTTGAGAACCACTACACAAATCTCGGTGTTCATACTAACTGGAGCCAAGCTTCCAGGTTCCTCATCCCCGGCTCCCAACCACCCACTTCCAGGCCCAGGTGAGAAAGGGGCAGGGAAAGGGCCCCAGCACTCACTTTCATCAGCTTGCACTCCCGGGAGTCGGAGAAAGCGGGGAATAGCTCCTCGTACTTCTGGACAGCAAGCTGAGCACAGCAACGGTGGAAGGAAGGAAGAAAGGGGACAGGCTAACAAAGGGGCTGTTGAAGCCGCTGGCCTCACAGCAGAGGGGATCTAAGGATGGCTTGGGCCCTGAGTCAGCTCTTTGTGCCCCTCCCCCAGCCTCCTGGTCACCTGGCTCTGTGCCTAGTGGGACCTCCAAGGAACTGAGCTCAGCACCAGCCTGGCTGTAGAGACAGCTGGTAGGGAGGGTTTCCCAGGCCAGTCCCCAGTGCTCCTTCCTGAACCTGGCACACCCAGGGGAGGGGGCAAATGACAACTGTCTGTGCACCTCTTCCATGCCAGGCAGTATCACATTTAACAATCATGAGGACCCAGGAAGGGTCAAATGATAGTGACCCCAATTTTAAAAGTAGAGAAACACCCAGATAGGGCAGTGGACTGCTCAGGGCACAGGGTAGGGCAGGGATCTGAAGTGGCCAGATGCAGGGAGCAGGGCAGGGAGCTCAGACGTGCCAGGTTAAGGGTAGGGCTGCTGAAAACCCCCAAGAAATCCCAGATTCAGGAGTCCAGCTCCTTCCCCTGGGCATTTACTGCCCCTCGCCAGCAGTGACACCTCTCTTACCAAGAGCCCCTGAAGATGGGTGGGTGGACATGCAGACTATGGTTTAAATCGTGACACTGGGAGTCAGAAAGATCTGGAATTGGGGCTGCTGTTTATTAGCCATGTGGCCTTGAACAAGGGGCTCTGGTATTAGCCTATGTCTTTGTCTGTAAAATGGGTGACAGTGATGCCAACCTCATGGGGAGCAGTAAGGATTCAAAATGTGTTCTCACAAAAGAAAGAGCCTGGCACCAGGTGAGGAAATGGAAAACTCAAATGCTAAGGGGCCAGGCAGGTGACATCAGGGACAGAAATGCAGCAGTGGGAACAAGTGTTTCTCACCCAAGACCGACTGTCAGGGGCCAGGCGTGAGGGGCTCACCCCTTCTAAAGAGTTGAGAGGGGACTTGACCTAGTGACAGTGGTTCCAGTGCCCCAGGAGTGGTCACCTGGCAGGTAGGGAAAGCTCTGGGTGGGCTCACCTTGGCATTGAGCATGTCAATACAGAAGTGGCAGAGGGCTGCCTTGAAGAAGTAGTCCTTGGCGCTATACTTGAGGAGGGGGCTGTCCATGGCATTGGTCCCCACCTGTGGGTACATGGAGGTTGCACTGTGAGCTCACAGCAGGCAGCCAGAGGGCCAGGGTCACTGCCAGGCACTCGGAGGCTGGCTAGAGGCTGGGTCTGTGCCCCAAGTGAACAGCTGCTAACCCAGGACCTCAAGGGCAGGGAGGCCCAGGACCAGCCCCAGGCTTAGTCAGCAATGGGTACATGAGTGACCAAGGACCAAGACATAATTGGGGGGGGGGTTTTGCCACAAGGCCAGGACTCTGTGGGCCTCCCAATGTGCCCAAGATGGTGGGACAAGGTGGTCCTGCTATCAGGCCCCACGGAAGGCTGGCATGTTGGTGGGCAGAGGGGTGGCAGCTGCAGGAAGATGAGAGGCGGTGCCCGCTCCACTCTCCTCCGAAGCCAGCTCCCTGGCTTTTTCCTGTCCAGCTGAACCCACCAGGACAGCCTGGGACTGCCGAGCCCTCCCCACACTGCAGAGGAACCTGAAAACCCTTGTGACACTACCTCCCACTTGGGAGCATCCCTGTATCCCTGACCCCTTCCTCTGGGCTCCTCAGCAGCCTCTGGCCACCCCAGGCTTCAGCAGTTCTTCCCGTTCTCTCCCGTTCTTCAGAGTCAGTCTCACTCTGGGGTTGGCCAGGAAGCTCCCTGTGAGGACTGGGCATGGGCTGGGCCAGGGAGAGGGCAGCCACACCACATGGGATCATGGGTAGAGAAAATGTTCAGCCAGGCTGGGTACAGAGTTAGGGTGAGGTGATGACAGAGGAAAGTGGAGAGAAAGGGAGGGAGGGGGCAATAGAGAGGGTGGCAGATGGGGGCAGGGGGCATCAGCACATAGGATAGGGAGCAGTGTCCTCTGCAGAGAGCAAGGCTCAGAGCCCCATGTCCCCACCTGTTCGTAGATATCAATGGCTTTCTGATATTGTTCCAGCTGCGCAGCATAACCAGCCACCTTCAGCAGACACTTGTTGGCTGAGCTATGTGGGGCGGAGAGAGGGAGGTTGGTGATGGCTGGTTGCAAGTGCACTGGGGGCTGGCAGGCAGGAGTGGGGTACGGGCTGGTACCTGTTGGACTCCTCGCTCTTGTAGTAGTCCGCAGACTGCTCGTAGTGGGCGATGGACTGTGGAGACACGGGGAGGGAGGATGGCGAGGGGGTGCCTGCACCTTTATCACCGGCAGCCCCAGGCCCACCTAGGACATGGCCAAGTCCTTCACCCACCTTCTGCTAGTGCCCACATCCCTTTCCCAGGGCTCAGACACCAGGACTCCCAGAGTGAAAAGGACAGACAGAGGAGTCCTGGTCCCAGGGGAATGGCTGCTCCAGGCCCTCCCTGCTGCCTGCCAAGAGCCCTGCTGCCACTCACTTTCTCGATGTCCACCAGCTCTGTCTCATAGATCTCAGCGATGGAGATGTGGTGCTTGGCTGCGATCGTGAATCGGCCCTGTGAAGGGAAGGGAATGTCTATGACCAGTGCCACACTCCAGCTCAACTATGTTCCACCCTGGTCCCCAAAGCTGTGCCTCCCCGCCCCTTAGTCGCATCTGTGAGGTGAAGTGCACAGAAGAAGGTACAGAGGGCGGAGGGCATGGGGCTCAAAAGGGAGGCTCTAGAGTGAGAGGCCCAGGTCTGAGTGTTGCCCTGACCAGGTAACCTTGGACAAGAAACTCCACACCCAGCCCCCGTCCATGGGTGCACAGGTGGAGGGGGTGCTGCCAGGGACGAGGTGTGCGGAGGTACCTGGCAGAGGTGAGGTGGGGCAACATGGTGGACCAGGAGCCAGGAGCGGGGACAGGACTGTAGTGACTCTTACCATGTCTGTGTAGATCTCAATTGCTCTCATCAAACAGTTAATGGCCTCTGGAGAGAGAAAGAGGGAGGCGGGGAGGGGAAGTGAGAAAGGGAAGTCATTTTAGCAAAAGCTGGGAGGGGGGGTGCAGGGCTGAAGCCTGCCTGTGGGGAGATCAATAGAGTTGCCAGGGCTACGTGCTCCCTGAGAGCAGCTGGGAGGGAAGGTGAAGGAATCCTGAGCCCAGGGAACTTGTTCAGACTAATTTATTCTGCTGTCTGACTTGCTGGGCATATGCTTGGGGTGGGGGGATGAAGCTGCCCTATCCCTCCAGCTGCCACAAAGCCACCGCCTTCTCAGTAACGCCAGGGAAAGGACACGGCTGGCGCCAGAGGAAGCTGATGGCCAAGCTCCCATGGGGGTTTTGAGCCAGATCATCCAAGGCTTTACCTCGGGGACAGAGCTGCTGGCAAGGGGCGGCCAAGCCTGACACCTGAGGGTCATCCAGGTTCTGCCGGGACTCTGCCATCCTTTCATTGTGGGACCCTGAACCAGCCACATCCCCTGCAGCTGTCTGGCCTCCATCTATGGCAGGAGGAGGCCAGATGCTGTGACTCAGAGACCCCTCCAGCTGGAATCTCCATCGTTCTCTTGCCCCCACCTCAGCACTCAGCAGAGCCCTCTGTGCCCTCCTTAACCTGGCGCTGATACCCGCCAGCTCCTCAAACCACAGCTCTGCCAATGAAACAGACACTGGGGTGGCACTTGAGAGGAGGGATTGGGCTACCTTTGTTGTACTATCTCTTGCAGGATTTTAAATTTGGGAATGGCTTTTTTCTTCGACAAGTTATTTGGAGGAGAGAGAAGCATGAGTGGGAGGCAATTTCTAGCAAATAGAGATGAGCTCTTGGGTGGATTTTTTTTTTAACACTGTTTTAACAAATCGCAGGAGGAAAGGGAGTGGGGAGGTAGAGGAGGAAGAACAGAGAGAGCCTGGACAGACCACAGGGTGGGGGTCAGCTGAACAGAGGCTGAAAGTTTGGCCTGCAGTCCAGGGCATTTGAAAGGCTCCTGGTCTGCTTCCAGGGTCTCCAGTCAGCTAGGCCCATGGCCAAGATGCTACAAAGAAGTGTTAGGCCTGGCGCCTGCTCTCAAGGGGATTATGGCCTCACTACCCAGGGAGACATCTGAACATGGCTCTTAGCTCCGGGCTGGACTTTCAGGGAGTCCTCAAGCTGCTTAAATTTGTGTGTCTGTGAGCACTGCTCTGGGAGTGAGGGGATCTAGAGGTTTAGTCCAATTCTGAAAGGCCTCTGGGGACCCCAAAGGATTCAGAGAATGTGCATCATTTGGTTAAGGTTCTGAGTTGACAGCTGGAAGTCTGGGGGCAATAGGGAAGAGGAAAAGGAGGCAGAGGACAGGGGGCAAATAACAAAAAATGACAGCTGGAAACGCAATTGTGACTGACACACACACACACACTTTGCAACAGCTTTTCTGGATGTAATTGATGAGCTACCAACTGGTTGCAACAAGGGTTGGTTGCAACACCATGATGAGGATGGTGATGAGTGAGCAGCTGGGCTGCAGGGTGCAGGTTCTGCATGTCCCACCCTTGTTCTAGCCTCCACCCTGGGAGGTGGGTGTGACCAGCAGGCACCCTACGACTCACCCACTCCCACTCCTGGGTTGCCCGGAGTCCAATGGGACACCTGCAGGCAAAGGTGGCTAGGCTGCTCCCAGTGACATTAGCAGCCGGGAGTGGGAGGGGCTGGAAACTCCCCTGGCAGGACAGGATCTCCTGCAGCTGCCTTGGGGCCTGCAGGGGAGGCTTCCCCCCACCCCCTACCCCCAAGCGCAGCAACACGGACTCCTAGGGTTAAATCCCCTTCATGCCTGCTCTTCACCCCAGGACTGGTCCTGAAAGGGGCAGGCTCCCAGCTGACACCCTGGTAAGAGCACTGACAGACAAGCCTGACACACAACTAGCTTATCAGGTGACGAGAATCCCCAGGATGAGTGGCCAGCGCATCCCTGGATGAGCAAAGAACCCCTCCCCCTGCCCCCATCTACCCACAGGAAGCTGGAGCTAGAAAGGGACTCTGGGAATGATCCAGCCCACGATGGGAGGAGGGGGGCTGAGGCCCAGAGAGGGGAAGGCCCTGGCTTAGGGAGACTGGGAGTCTGCAACCCAGGGTCCTCAATCCACCCCATGGGCTCCAGCTGCCTCCCATCCCACTCCTGCAGTCCACCACCCAACTCGGCCAGCGGCCTCGATAAACAAATCCCAGAACCCCACAGGAAGTGGAATGGATTAAAAGAAGATGCCCTGGCCTGGTACACAGTAGGCATCCAATGGCAGTGGGGCATGGGGTACGAGGGGGAGGGGAAATGGGGGCCTGGTCACCTCCCTGCCCTGGATGCACATGCATGAACCCTCCCTGGCCTGAGTCCACCTACAACAGCAGACAGTGGCTGGGAAACTCGGGAATCACTAACAACTATGGGCGTCACCTCTTCCCTCTCCTCCCCAGGCGGCAGCAAGAGACTCCCTGACCCATACTGAGGGCAGACTCCAAAGAGGGAGAGTGTGATGACAGGAACCAAATCCTTTCCTTCCGCCCTGAGTAGCTCTGGCAGGCCTCAGGCCCAGGGTTGGCACCAGATGCCTCTGGAGGGGCGGGCCCTCCAGGGCTCTGGCAGGAAGTGCTGATACAGGACAGGAGGACTTCGAGGCAGGTGAGGTAATTGGCAGGGCCCCAGGGAGCTGGTCACCTGCTTGGGAAAGTGGGCCAGGTTCCAAATGGGCCCTCTAGCTCTGTTTCAGAAGGCATGCAGCCAAGGGGGTGGAGGCTCAGAGCCCAGGTCAGTCCCCTGGTGGAAGTAAGCTGAAGGCTGTCCCTCAATGGACTTTTACCACATGCTAGGTGCCACCCTGGGCACGTCTGCGCCTTATCTCGTGATCTCTGCTATACCAGACCAGGGAATGCAGATCCAACAGATTAAGTGACCTGTCCAATGTGGAAGGAGAGCAGGCTCCTCCTGGACCTTAGGACCACAGTGAGCCACACACAGCTGCCACGGACCTCTGTGAAGAGGTCTGGCCCCAGACACAAAGCAGTTGTCACTCCTGGTGCAAATATGCCTTCTCCCCTGACCCTGGCTGGAATGGTCCCCACCTCAGACTTGTGACTGGGGTTGGCAGTCCACGAGGCAGTGGTGCTGGGATGCTGCCCCAAACGCCCGGCCCAACCCTCAGCACCAAACATCCTCATCTGGGCTCCAGACAAGGCACCCAGTGCCAGCACTGCCCAAATTACACTGTTCTGTGCTCCACCGCCCCTCTTGTTCTCGCATAAGGTTCCCCCCACCCCAAACCCACCTCCTCCCACCTCAGCTCCCAGGGCAGCAAACTGTGCTCCCTGATCCCCCGAGAAACTAAGACAAGGGGACCATCACCACACCTAACTACTGCTGCTTTCCCACCAGCCTGAAGACTCTGCCACCCTCCTTGCTTCTAGGCCCCAGGCAACACCAAACACACACCCTGCAGAGCTTGCTGAGAGATGAGAAAACTCAGATCAAAAGTTAGGGAAGGACATGACCTCACAATGCCAGGTGGGGCCTGTCCACAGGAAGTGCTGGGGTTGTTTAAAGAGCAGCTGGTGTGCACGTGTCATGTGGCCTGGCACTCTGCTCCCGCCCCAGAAATAAGTCCTTTCATTCACTTGGGAGCAGCAGCTGAACGTCACAGATGCTAGGGCAGCATCTCTAGGTCAACCAGTTCCCCAGGGAGCAGAAGGCAGGCTGGGGGCAAGCGGGTGACTCCGTGGGAGACACACAGACTTCTCTGGGTGATTCCAGCTGAAAACAAACCCAGGATGGCATGGGTCACTGTCACCTCACCCACGTGGCCTGCTCTGACGCAGCACTCAGCTCTGTGTAGGGAGTGACAAGGCCTCCCCTGGGGTTTTTTAAACCCTCATCTGAGGATATGTTTTTACTGATTTGAGAGAGAAAGAGAGAGAGAGAGAAAGAGAGAAAGAGAGAGAGAGAGAGAGAGAGAGAGAGAGAGAGAGAGAAAGAAAGAAAGAAAGAAAGAAAGAAAGAAAGAAAGAAAGAAAGA